GTAACCACTATAAAATATTGTATAGGTTGACAGTCTTGCTCAGCACTAATGCTCCAATGCTGATCCCAAGTCTACAACGGGGGCCCGGGCAATACAACAAGCCAGGCTTCCAGCTGTAAAATTACAAGGCACGAAGATGAGCCCTGCTGTTAGAAAGCAGATCTGAGAAGGTGCAGCCACAGCTCTAATAGGGGTGAAGGTGGAACCAAGACAGCATGTTCTCCTAGCTTTGCTTATGAATGGTTTCAGAAAGAACCCGGCATCCTCATGTGGTTTGGGGCACAGGACACTGAGAGGCAGAGATCAGATCACTAAGCAGGTAGGCAAGCAAGCCCCAAGATGGAGCAGATACACAAGCACATTCCATGGGTTTCTGCAGAGCATCTGCTTGGTGACACATATGGAGAACTGCACTCAGAGTGCATGATTCTAGCAAGGTGCTTTCTGGTAACACAGCACTCAAGAGGCGCAACAAGTTACCCCAGGGATTACCATAAGCACACTGCTTTGAAAGTGCATCTTGTACTTGTCATGCGCAGACAACACTATGCACGCCTATATTTATCACATCTGGATCCTGCAGTTTCTCCAAGCAGCTCCGACTATCATTTCTTCCATTTTATCTTCACAGGTTAGATTTTCTGGATTTTCTGAAGGATTTTCTGAAGCCACCCCAAAGCTTCCTAGCTGAGTGGGGATTAACCAAATCTTTCTGGTCCAAATCCATCACTCTATCCACTACAGCTGTCTCTTCTCATGCATCCTCCCTCCAACTTCAGTCTTTGCCAACAGTGAAAAGATTCTCTGAGTCAAGACTGTTTTTATTATCTTGTGAATGGCTTTGACACCATCTGCAGGGCCTGAAAAGCAGCATGTTGATATTAATATACATGGAATAAGATTACTCTTAGTTGCACTGTGTCCTGAAATGAATACATTTGAATACCCCAGCACCTTAGTAACTAACCTAGGAGGTTACCTGAGCCCTCACTAATAACAAATGACTCCAGAATACCTATTTGCACAATTTTGAAAATCCATATGAAGGCTATTTAGACTCCTTGTGTTAACTGTGAAGTCTATAACCTCTGCCCCTGTAACTTAATCCATGATGAAGTAAAGCCCCAAAGACAAGGGTGGATATTTTAATTCTTGCATTTATTTAATTGTATTATTAAACATATTCTTAAAGTAGAGATAGTAAGATACTTCACATGGCCATGCCTTGAGACTCAAAAGGAGATTTTAGCCTTTACTATTCCATTTTGTAAGTTTTGAGGTAGGATAGTTGGCTTGCAAGACTGTCGATTTGAGCTGCCCATCAGCACAGCTCAGATACTGTGCTATAACACTTACTACAGTACAGATGTGAAGCTTTGCACTTTTCAGTGCAGCTCAGCTTCTTGTGAGCTAATTAGCATGTGGTAGAGTCAGTCAACACTAGGAATGGAGGAGGAATATTGACTGCTCTGGATCAGAATGCAACTGCTGATTGGGTCCTGCACTTCTCTGTATTTTGCAATGCTCAAAAATGATGCACAAAATATGCATTTTATGGTTAAAAAGTGTTTCAAAAAGAATGGGAAAATGTGTATTGGGGAAAATGCATACAAAAACGCATACAGTGATACATATAATAACACATATAATTTTATTGTGAACTTTTCATGCATTTTAAAAAAAACCTTCACAAAATGGGACAGAATGGACCTCTGCTTGAGTCCTAGTTATCACTGCCATCTCCAGGTTTGGAGGCGCTCTTGGTCAAGATGCTCTCCTTCCTGCTATCACTACCATCCATTCACTTGCCGTATCTGTGTGGGTCTAAGCTACATCACTGGTGAGAGGGAGAAGGCAAGATGAGCAAAGAAAGCTCCTCTTTCCCATAGTTCCTGATGCTATTCACTTGCTTGGACAGGGCAGGTAGAACAGGCAGTGACAGCAAGGGGATAGAACAGCAAGCCCAGGTTGCTCTGGGGGACCATTGTAGATCCCCTGCTGGAATGCAGAAGGTACATGAGGATGCTAACTCCCTAACACCAGCCTTGCCAATTATTCAGAACAAAGAACAAGGTGGACCCCATATACAGAAGCCATGCTTGCTAACTGCCTTGCTCAATCAGACCATAAACTCATCTAGTCCATAATTCTGTTAGCAACAGCAGCCAGGCCTTGGGGAAGTTCATACAGAGAATAGGAAGGCAACAGCCTTCCACTTTTGCTTCTCTTCAACCTTTAGCATCCAGAGATACACTGCCTCTAAACACTGGTGTTCTATTTAGTTAAGAGCTTGTTGTTAGTGCTTGTGATTTGATTTAGGGCCAAGCTACACATTACACTGCAGCCGCATATAATGTTAGCTCAGTGGCCCCTTCTCCATTGCAAAGCAGACTCAGGAAGGAGAGAAGCAGTAGGGAAAACTCTCTCTGAAATTCCCTCCAGTTGCTCTCATTCTCAAGAGCTCTGGACCTTCCAGAAGGGTTTTGCAGGGACAGTCAGGTTAACATTGGCTTGGTTCAAATGCTACAGTAAGCCAGGCACCCCTGACTATGTGAGCGTATTGACTCTCAGTGAGAGCAGGGTAGTGCCATTGCTGTTCATAGCACTGTACCCAACTTCTTTGTGGTGTGTTATGAAGGTGTGTTTAATTGCATGGACATATGCAATTTGAAGGCATGAAGGCACCTCTTTCCTGGCTGTTTTCTCTCTCTCTCTCTCATATATATATATATATATATATATATATATATATATATATATGTGTGTGTGTGTGTGTGTGATGATTATAATTTGTTTTAAACTTTTTAAATGTTGAATTTTATATTGCTGTAATACACCATGGGACTTTCTCATGATGGGTGGGAAATAAATATAATAATTATTAATAATAATATCCTGACATCAACCTGAATGGGTGAGAGATTGGTGCAACAGTCTAGAAGTGACCTTTGCTGGCACTTTTGCTAGGTGTGATAAAAGCAGATCTTTTCATCGCAAGAAGGAGAAAGTAAAGACAGAAATGCAGCTCCATATCTCTCGTAACATCTAGTGTGGCCCTGTGTTGTTGCCATCAATTATCTATCTACTATGCTCCTAATATCTCTTTCCTTGGTGGCTACTGTCTGTCTAGATCCCATCTGTATATAGCCAGGAGAAAATAAAAGTACAAGCATTGAAAATCTCAAACACCTGCAACGTCACCATGATGCCAGCAGCATGCCTAGTAGTTGGTACACCTTCCTAGGCCTATCTCTGACATCTCCGAGAAGGGTTGGAAATGCCCCCTGTCTGAAACCCTGGATTGCTGCTGACAGTCAGTGTAGACAATACTGTGCTAGATGGGCAAATGGTCTGGCTTAGTATAAGGCAGCTTCCTGTGTTTTATGTTTAGGTGGTTTCCTGTTTCACAAATGGCAACCCAAGGACTACAAATATAGTCTTTAAAGCCAATTCCCATGTGACTTTCTCAATGTGGGCACATAGTTGAAAACCATATTTAAATGGCAAAACTACCAATGTGGTGCCATCAGTTCCAAAGGGCACCCCTGAATTAAAGACAAAGGGAGTGATTAGGAAAGAATATTCCCCCACATGTTCACTGCAGGGGAACCTGGTTATTATATTCATTAATCTAATCTAATCTAATCTAATCTAATCTAATCTAATCTAATCATATACACCAGAGTCCATTCTATCTCTACAATTCTATGATTCTATGTGTTCCATTCACAATGGTCAAAATTCAGCATACATTTTGCAATTTAAATTCTGGTACTTTTTTGAACCCAAATTAAAAAAGTAGTGTATGCATAGTCTTTGAGCTTATTCCCCTCCAATTTCCCTTGCCTGATGTCCCTGCACCTTTCTTTGTTGATCTCCAAGACTGCTGGTGTCTCAATCTTAATGCATGTTCCCCATTTGGGATACTGGCAGTCCCTATAAGCGGAAGATGCACAGGACACGTGATATGATAGCCATGTTCAAATATATAAAAGGATGTCATATAGAGGAGGGAGAAAGGTTGTTTTCTGCTGCTCCAGAGAAGCGGACACGGAGCAATGGATCCAAACTACAAGAAAGAAGATTCCACCTAAACATTAGGAAGAACTTCCTGACAGTAAGAGCTGTTCGACAGTGGAATTTGCTGCCAAGGAGTGTGGTGGAGTCTCCTTCTTTGGAGGTCTTTAAGCAGAGGCTTGACAACCATATGTCAGGAGTGCTCTGATGGTGTTTCCTGCTTGGCAGGGGGTTGGACTCGATGGCCCTTGTGGTCTCTTCCAACTCTATGATTCTATGATTCTATGAACTCCCAAAGGGAAAAGACTAGTTGGTCCATTAGGGCAAATGGGGCACTGCCCCATCACCCTCAGTCTTCCCTCAAACAGCCCCTGTCTGCCTACCTTCGTACACACATCCCACACTGGTTCTCGGTTTCCTCCTCCTCAGTCTCAGTGTCGCTTTGTAAAACTTAACAGGGAGAAGGTTGGGGACAAAGCTAAAATTAGTTAGCTCTGCCTTTCATTGGCTCTGGCTGCACCTGCTGCTGGTCTGCCTACTTTCTGCCCAACCAGCCCCATCCCAGGCCACCCCACAAAGTAGCTTAACAACGCTGTCTTATTCTGCATGCAGCTGGAAGGTTTCAGCAGCGAAAAGTGCTTTCTTTCCACAAGGATAAAGTAGGTTTTATTTGATAACGCTATGTAAAGCCCGGCAACATTTTGCATCTATTTTACTATTTAGTCAAAACAAAACAAAACAAGGACAGTGTGTGCAAGAGAACCGGGAGAAGCATGAGATGGAATCTTTGGCTGAGCTTTTCAAGGCAGACACACAGTCAGTCTGAGAGGTGCAATGCTCTGGTTTTCACATTTTGCCTCACCCAGCGTGTCCGTCCTCAAGGGAATGAGCTTTGCATAAATGTCATCAGCAGAGAACGAAGGGCACGCAGCGCCAGGCACACATGATAATCAGCTCAAAGGAAAAAGTAGCTGCAGACTTACGGAGGAAATATTCTGCTGTGTCGGCTTCATACTCTGTGTCCTCAAGGAAGTGATCGATTTGCTTACACAGACCTTTAAAATTCCCTACAATACAAGAGAAGAAACAACAAATGAGAACATCAGCAACCCAGGCAACAGTTCCTTTTCTGTCCGTTGTGTTTTCTTTCCAAAGGCCTCTCCCGAAGATGGTTTCAGTGTGCAAATAAACACGCTATTCATTTGTTGCAGACACTCTTAGCCTTCTTGGTACATTTCTGCAGCAATTCAAACTGCAATGCTCTGTGGCTGAGAAAATGTGATTCTCCTCTCCTGCCCCTCTAAATAAGTGTTTGCATTGCAATAATTAATAGAGTGGAGGGAGATTATAAAAGTGCCATGGTCACCTACTGGATAATGCCCATGACATCACTCTCCTGAGCCTGTGCCATTTTGTGAACATTAAATTAACATTCTGTCTTTTGTTAATAAATTAAAGGCTGGGTGCTCCCCACTGTTGTATTCATGTGTCACTCACTCAGTCACCCATTTTAGAACTAGCAAACAAAACCACAAATAAAATTTCCTGCAGAAATGTATCACAGTTTAAAAACATTTGTTCCACTTTTCTTTTGTTCCATTGTTTTCATTTTAATTTTTAACTCTTTAAGGGCTGTGGACCTTGCCTCCAGTACCAGAGCACACATTTTCACTGAAGATAAAAGATAATGATAATAATAATAATAATAATAATAATAATAATAATAATATTAAGGCTTTAGATGGTTTGTGCTGCCATCTATATCTACCCAAACACCCACGTACGTATCATATTTACACAAACTAAGTGAGCGCAATATGCTTCCACCCACACCTGCTTAAGCATACTTGCTGGTACAATACAAACATTCTTTTGTACGGATATGCACGTTCCATATATTTATATGCAGAGCAGTGAAATATATGGCCTACTTTTCTAGCAACCGGAAAAGAAGCTCTTCTAGAAATGTTCTGTAATGGCCCACTGCAGGCTTTCATCGTAAACAACAACACTGTTTTCTGAACATGCCAGCTATTATTGAGAGAGCACATTATGCGCACACAGAGCAACCTCCCCATAAATGTGTCTCCAAATGTACAATCCCATAGTTGGTGCAGATATTCTAGGGTTTGGCTTTAGGGCTGTCCAGTGAGGAAGACACTCACTGTGCCCAAATCTCTGATGAACAATGCCAACATCTACCGCTTCTGCCACGGCCATGCACAATCTGTGCATACAATGTTCCTGCTATTTCCCTCTGTCTACCAGTAGCATGGATTTCAGTGTTGCGGCTGCTTTGATGCAGAATTCATCTCTGTCTAAGATGCTCTAACAGTATCCTCTTTTCTGACTTACGCTCAAGACTTTTTTATTTACCCATGCCTTTTAATTATTGTGAACGGATATTAATTGTAACTGTATTAGGGTGAGGGGATGCTCTGTGGCTATCATTAGGGGGTGGTTTCTGCCTACTTGACTGCACCCTTTAGCTCAGAGAGCAGCTTCTAGAAAAAACTTGGGAGGGAGCTTTCTGGCCCTTTTTGGTCGAGGCATAAATGATGGGCATAGAGTGGTGTTGCTAAGTATTGATTGATTGATTGATTGATTGAATTTACAGCTCACCTTTTTCTCCAGGGAGATAAAAGTGGTGTATATGGTTCTCCCCCTCCTCCTTTAATCCCCACAACAACCTTGTGAGGTAGGTTAGGCTGAGAGGCAGTGACTGGCCCAAGGTCACCCAAGTGGGGATATGAACCCTGGTTTCCCAGGTCCTAGGCTGGCATTCTAACCACTACACTGCCATCAGCTTTGGGGCTACTTTTGGATGTGAACTTATTGAATATTTTTACTTTATGTATAAGTGAACTTTATGCTCACATAAATGTTGATATATATTAAGCGAACTGTTTATTAATTTTATATTTAATGTTGTAGTGCTATTATACTTTTTCTTACATTCTGTTCTTGTACTATTGTATTTAGCTTTTTTTTTATTTACATGAACATGCCAAATGCAGCAGCTAGATATATTGACCCATCTGCGGTGGACTTGCCCATGCATCCACCTTTTCTGGACTAAAATATTTCGTGAAACAGAACGAATCATAAATCAAACCACTGCTATGGACCCCCAAAACATCCTGTTATCTCAATGTATGAACCAAAAGCACAGGATCTCATTCAGAAAGATCTTATCACTCATCTCATGACAGCTGCAAGATTCATCCTAGACAATTTTTTTTGGAGATTGTTAAACACAAATTTGATGGAAGCCTGGTTCACTCAACTATGGGATATAATTCTTATTGAGGGGAGGGAATCGACTAACAAACCACACAAACAAAGGAATAATAAAAACACAGATAGCTTTTACTTAACTTGGTTCAGTTTTATTTCACATGCTATTTAAGCAGAACAGGGGTACAGTCGACCTTATTTTGTGTTACCGCAAACGTTAAAAAAAGGGGAAAGGAAATAGCAAAAAGGGTTGCGTTGGTGCGAAGGAAATCGCCTGAGCTGAGTGATGGGCCGCAGCAAAATGAATGGCTTGCCTGGTGTAGCAATTTAAAGTGGCCTCCAGGTGGCAGCTGTTTTATATGCACCAGCCCATCCTCAAGTCCTCTGAGGAGGCTGGTGGCCATTTTGTAGAATTGACAGTTGAGAACAGCTGTGACTGAAATGTTCAGCTTATGCTCCGCTGGCCAAACAATAAATGAGTTTTTAAATGGTATGTGACACCAACACTGAATCATGGTTCCTGAAACCTAGCTAACTTCCCTCTATCCTGACTCAGCTTCATTACTAGACTTCTGTCATTGGTGAGCCACACATAGGTTTCCCTTCCCCAAATATTTTGTATCATCTCTACTTGGTCTTCTGTTTCCTCCCTGCATTAACTATACATCCAGAATTTTGAACTGTTTGTCTTGGGCCAGGTTGTGTTTGCGTGGCGATTCCCGCCCCCTCCCACGGATGGAATAAATAAAGACACCAGACACCAGAACTTAGGTTAATGGGCGGAAATGGCCACAACTTTATTGATTACAGGTAAGAGTGGTATTGGCTTTAGGCATTGGCCCTAACAGAGTATCCGGTCTAACCGGGAAGGGTTAAGCACCAACAGGGGGAGCCCCCGAGATGCACATCCCTAGGCACTCCCCGAGGGGTTACCGCTCGGGAGTGCACTTTAAGCCCTAGCCTCCGTAGGTTTCGGATGAGGCGACGCCCCCCGGAGTCCTTTAACGAACTACCCTTCAAGATTTGGGGGAGGTGATGGCGCTCCCCCCCAACTTCATTTGCATAACAATACCCCTGCCAATGCCTACTGCCAAAACCGAGGAGTTGTGACGTTTTGCTACGAGGTAGGCGAAAAACCAAGTGGCTTCAAAATACAGCCAATTAGCCAAATGGAAAAACTCCTACCAGGCCCCTTGCAGCAACCAGCCGAAGCCCATAGCAAAGTTCGAATGCAACCCTAGAGGGCGGGTGGGTGGGAAAAACCGCAGCTGCTGTAAGGAAAGAAAAGGGGCGAGCCAGGGCTTCCCCGACCTTAAGTGCCCTATTGTAAGCCCGCCCCTAGCGCCAGCTGATTGGCCGGTGCTGTGGGATAATGAATAATAATCAGACTGGGGAATCCCTGAGTCCCGGGAATGTAGTCTGGGGCGTGAGCCCGCAATCCCCCCCTCCTTAGGTCGGGAGTGGCTTTCCCATGTAACACCACACATTTTGAACATGTATTGGTGGAGCCATCATTATGTTTCACCTGGCTCCTTCTTTGCCAGTGCAGTGACCTATAGAGGTCATTGAAGGTCGTAGAGAATTTTTTTTGGCAGCGTAGTGAAGAACTGAATTCAAACTTTCCAAATATTGCACCAACCTGAATATAAGAAGAGCCTGCTGGATCAGGCCAATGGCCCATCTAGACAAGCATCTTGTTCTCACAGTGGCCAACCAGATGCTTGCAGGAAACCTGCATTTCTCCTAATATTCACATTTCTGTATGCAATTTTTCATGGTATATGCATTTTTTTTTTTTAGCAATTCACCCCTGATAGAAGGCGTTTTTTCGTTCACCATGGTCACTGATATATGTATTCACATTCTTGGTTTAGAAGACAGCACCGACAAATTTGGAAAAATGCAAATTCAGAGAAAAGCTGTGCTTTGGTAAATCTGCATTAAAATTCCATATTTACTTGAATCTAATGCTCACCTTTTTTGGCCAAATTACACTGCAAAAATTAAGGTGCGCATTAGATTTGATGGCACATTTACATTCGCCAGCAAATGCTTTTTTGTTTGTTTCAAGGTTCTGAAAATTAAGGAGCGCATTAGATTCAATGGCCCATTAGACTCAAGTAAATACGGTACATTTCCACATCAGCTTGTGAATTATCTAAACTGTTGCTCTTCATCAGCATTGCAATATGATTTTTCCTAACATACACTTCTGTACACAAATTTGTCTTCTGCGCAATTTTGCAAAGCAATTTCCCCCAAATATAACACATATTTTAGTGTTATTTTCATGAATATATGCACACTTTACCTCAGTACAGGCATTTGTGCACACATTATGTGGCTCGAGAACTGCATTGCAAAATTCAGAGAAGTGCAAAGTTCAATGGATGGCTGTGTTTTGGTTCTCATAATGTTCTGGAAAGTACAAATTAGGTAGGTTTGCCTTTAAATCAAATTTCTCTACCATCCCCCTAGTCATGGGGTCAAATAGGAAGGCTTCAATTATAATTATATTGAAGATAACACTTTAGGAACAGCCACATGTCATGTAAGTACTGTATATGGAAGGCATAATGCCTTGAGAAAGTTATCTCCCAGTTATTAAATAGAACTTTGGAAGAGCAAAGGAATAGCCAAGAATGGCTTTTGTCTTTTCCAACTATTTTGTAGCATCCCCAGCATCTGCAGGTAGTGCCAGGAGAAAACTCTGCCTGAAACCCTGGAAAGCTACTGCCAATTAGTGTAAACAATACTGAGCTAGATGGATCAATGGTCTAACTTTGTACATGGCAGTTTCCTCTGTCCCTAACTCTTCAAGACCTAGGTT